GCATATTTATCATTGATTGAGTTGATATATATTTTTTCCTTTTTAGAAAAATCTCCTGACACCAAGGCCTCCAAAAAGATGAAGCCCATAGAAGAATGCATGGAGGACGACGTCTTTGAGGAGTCTGCCCCCTCCGAGTCTCAGCGGATGCCCAGCACCTCCACCACTGAGGAGGTGTAGCTGCATGGGGGGGCTTGTCATATTGTGTCGTGTAGGTCTGTTTATAACAACCAGGGCCTGGTCCTTACACAGGCATGGCCCACATTACCAGCCCTGCCCACTAACCTGGGTCAAAGGATATCTGGCAGCACATGTCAGTGAGAAAGGTCAAAGATATGTTCCTGATCATTTACCACAGACATGTTTATTATACCCAATCAAATATCTTGGTCAAAGTTATTTAAAAAAAAATCATATAAAAAGAGATGATCAAAATGATTATGTCAATTCAAAAACAATTATTCGTAGAGAAATCAGATTTTTCATTTTTATTTCTTTGAATCTACAATAATTGACTTCTGTGAACAGGTTGTAAAACGCAGAGTTCACATATTGTCATCTTATTAAGCTGCATTCACATGATACGCAGTAAAAAGTTGTGTTTCTATGGAGAAAGCATTGCTGCCGACTACGAAGAACCACCTCGGCGTCACATCGCTCGAAATGGTCGCAAAGCGCTGCGTTCAAAGTTCACATTATTTCAACTTAGACCTCCTTTACCAGTGACCTTCGTTCAAGCAACCAATCAGATGACTCACTGCAAGTCAGCAGGCGAGGTAACCATAGATACAAAACTTAACTAATTGTTTTTACGGCAAGGCCTTGCGCCAAACTTCGGAGTTCGCAAAGAGCAAATCTCGTACCATGTGAATGCAGCTTCACAAAGTTGATACGATGAATATGTTTTCCATCAATTGCCCATCCAGCGGCACAAAGCAACATTACCACCATGAAGAGATGTTTGTATGTTAACCCTTTCATGCATGAATTATGAAAACCTCAGTCAGGACTTTTTTACCAAGTGTTTGTATTGCTCTTGGGGCATGAAAAACAAGATTTGAACTTTAGTTTTTTTTAATCAAACTTTTTCAAAGAAAGATGTATATGTCCACTCAGGTGGACAGTATGTGTTTACATTTTGAACTGAAGAGATGCAAATTTTGAAAAAATGATAAATAAAGATGTGCAAACCTAAAATGACATTATAATAACTTAAGTATATTGATTTACGGCCCAAAAAGATATTGCAGATGAAGTATTTGCAAGAACAACAGTAGCAGTAACAGTATGAATTGTAGTTGAAATATAGCCAGTGATGCATGACGTCCACTTTAGTGGACAGGTGATTAATTATAATTTCCTGCAAACATAAAATCAATACTTTGATAATTTATGAATTATATGATTCCTTAGTTGTTACTTGATGTCACCAACATTGTTATACCTGCAGGGGGCGCTTTCCATAAAAGGATTGGCAAGATATCGACGAGTGATTTGGTCCATCTGGCTTTCTGTCGTCCATCTTGGTTTAGAGACATGTATCATGCACTTATACTGACTTTCCACTGAGTGGCAGTGTATGGGATGATGCAATAGGGTCCTATGTAATGGCTAATGTGCAACTATGCCATCAAAACCCATGCATATACAAGAAAACACCTTTTGAATAGCTGTCCACTGTAGTGGCCTCTAATGTATGTTTAGCTCTGGTTTGTTCTCCACCAACTCCATGGAAAAATATCTGGCTGCTTTATATTCACCTGCTAAATGCTAACTGTCTGTCTGCTGCTCGTGTTAACGATGTTCAGCAATAGCAGTGTAAAGTGTGTTTTGATAGCTTTTTTTTTATTTCCAGAGAGATACATACTTTCATTGTTTCTGTAAGTCATAAGCATTGATGCAAATCCATGGTTATATTTTTCATATTACAGACACAAACATTTCCTAAATATAAACACACATTTGTACTTTTCACAACTTTCACAACAGAATCTTTGTTAGTGAGGGGTATCATGGGAGTGCACTGTGGGTGTTAAATATACATTTAGAGTGACATGTCCTGACACTGTTTGCTATATATTAAAGTTTTGGATTATGTTATTATTGTAACTTTTGTAAAAATAAATGTACTTTGCTTTTCAGATTTGTGAAAGTGATTTGAAACGGAGTTGTCAGTCACTAATGTTCTAGTATTTCTAGACATGGGATGCCCCCCTGTGGCCACACTGTGCTACTGTATCTATGCACAGCTCAGTACAGTGAAGTCAGTGAGCTGCTGACCCAGTGTGAAGGCACCCATTTTATATAATAGGTAATTTATCTTTTATTCAGCATTTAAAACAGTTATTTTAGAAAAAATGTGGTCTAATGGTTGAGAAACAATGCCCTCTATTTAGTTCCACATACTTTTTAAATAATTATTTGTCAAAATCTGGAAGACAGACTGATCCCTTATGAATGATGTATATGACTTACATATTTTTGATTAGATGTATCAGTAGCAGTTAGTAACAAGTGAGAAAGTATGACAGACTTTTAAAGTAATTGAAGGTTATATACAATGATATAACTGCCCATTGTTAAGCTCTAGCAGTCAAATGTATACAAATATATTTTCTATGTATACATTGAATAAGATGACAACTGAATGATAAAGTTGTTTTAGCAGTAGTAATTACACTACTAACAATCATCAGATATGTTTTTTATTTTTTGGTATGTGCTGAAATTTGATTGTCTTTACAATTTGTATAAATCATATAAGACTAATTAGTTCAATTAAAACACTTCTTGAATATACTATTACGCTACTACTATTTCTACTTTATTAATTCACTTGTTTTTTGATAACACACTTAGCACAAGAGCCGGCCCGACCCATTAAGCCACATAAGCGGCCGCTTAGGGCCCCGCAGCCACTAAGGGCCCCCTAGCAAAAAATAAATAATAATCTCAGTACACCGTCGCCGTGATAAGTATGTTTAATTAATTTTGTTAATATGCCTAGATTGCCTACTCTCAAAGTCATGTATTATATTATTGAGTTAATAATATAATACATTAACCGTGCTTTTTTTCTTAAAAAATACGACAATTCTCAAGTGGTGGTTCACACAACGACCCCAGAGCCACCACTTGAGCCAGATGAACAAGGTCAACAAGGTCAAATGTCAGTAAACTTACAAGTTATGCGAACATGTAAGCAAAGCATAAATTACAGCGACGTTGACGTTACTTTGAATCGCGGGGGTAAGCTAAACCGTTAGCAAGTAGCTAGCCAGATATATTAAATAAACACTTTGTCATACAATCTGAATGTAATGTTTTTTAGCGTTACCTGGTGATTTCAAAGAAAGCTCTCTGGGAAATGTTGACTTACTGTTTGACATGAAGCTAGAAGCTGCCTTACAGTCAGGGGCGGACTGGGACTAAAAATCAGCCCGGGACTCTCGACCAGCCCACTTCGGTACCGCCGGCCCACCTCGGTACCGCTAGTAAATACCGCTAGTAAATACTGCTAGTAAATACTGCTAGTAAATAAAGCTAGTAAATAAAGCTAGTAAATACTGCTAGTAAATACCGCTAGTAAATTGTCAATTGGTGCTAGTGACTTATGCGACCGGCCCACCTCGGTACCGCAAGTGCCGCAACGTCCCGATGGCCAGTCCGCCACTGCTTACCCATAGTTAGCTTAGCTAAGCATCAACCTAGCACTGAAATATATGGATGTTATGTGACAGTATTTCTGAGAAAAAGTCAGCTGAAATGGTGGCATAGTTGCCACTGCTTTATGTGTCGACAGGATGTTTGAACGTATTTGCAGCAGTAAATGTGGCTGTTTGGCCACTGACGTTGCCATAACAACACCTGAATTTAAATGTGCAACCTCTTTTTTGCATGAAATTATAATTCTTCTGAATGATATTCCTATTGACAGCTAGTTTCTATGTGAACATTATGAGATGGACAGCCAGAGAGAATAAATGAAAAACAGTTATGAAATACTATATGACAAAACAAGAATAGTCCTGTCAGTTGCGGGAGTGATTTGTAAAATATTCATAAAGAAAAATCTGTTTACAGTTCTGTTTCATATGGGTGTTGAGAGATGTATCCATAGATCTCTTCATTTTGCTCTCAAAGTGCACCAGATTGATGCTTTTAACTTCAATATTAAAAAAAAAAGTCCTCCCGGGGGAGCATGCCCCTGGACCCCCCTAGATGAGGTTAGGTCCACAGTGTTTACATACTTATTTATACAATATGTGTTCTTATGCTAACATCATAAGACAAAAGTTGGTTCCGTGTTGTGTGTAGTGAGAACGCGCTAGAGTGAGGGGGGCCCCAAGCCAAAGCTCGCTTAGGGCCCCCAAAGGTCTAGGGCCGGCCCTGCTTAGCACCCATGGTGTCTCGCGCAGAGATACCACAGGTCCTTCCTTTCTGCAGCGGTCAGACTACGTCACACTATGGATAGACTATTACAATCTTGTGCAAGATACACTCTTGCATTCTACTTTTGTTATGCTGCTTCACTCAGCATAGTGCAATAATCACTTTTTTGAGCAATTATATACAATATAACAAAAAATATATAAAATACATTACCCATGCTAGCTTTAAAAATACACGTGGATTTACACGTATGGCTCCAAGAATCCCAGTGGGATAGTGGGGAGTTTTCTTCAATTACAAATTAAGGGTCCTGATTAATAAAATATACTACATGAAAGGGAGTGAATGATGAAAAACACAGCCTGGCCCTTGAATAGTTGGTCTGACAATTGGCCTATGGTTGAGCTGATACAATCTATTGGCATTACGGCAGATCATCTTGATCTTTCACCTGCCCTGACGTTTGACCATCATTTAAAACATAATGTTGATGACATATACCATTTTGATTTTGCAAATAACCTGCAAAAATGCTCACTTTAAGCCATGGAAACTAGGCTACATCACCCACACCGCATAGCGTGTAAACGTCATCACAACAGGAAGTATCAGTAGGGTTGTGGAGCAGCAGAGCAGTGTGGTAGGAGAAAAGAAGAGCTGTAAATCAAAGGTCGGTGAGGGAACGGTTCCCTTCTGCCGGTGCCCATGGACGACGCCCAGGAACAACACCCCCCCCACTAGGACGACATATATTCGACGGGCAAGGCTTTGTTCCCCCGGTTCCTCTAGCTGGACGGTTAACATATAATGGAACGGGCGATGGAGCAGCTCAACGTACAGCTTAGCCGGCTGACCCGCTCCCTCCGCCGGGCCAGGACGGTGGAACTCCCGGAAGGTACAGGATGCTAACGGCTTTAGCTAGCACAGAGGAGCTGACCGTGTAAACAGAGAGTGAGAGGTGACAGCACCCTGCCTCTGTCTGTCACTGAGTTCATTACACAGCAAGTAGGGGACATAACTGACATGTCTGTGTCATAGACTGTATACAAAAAGGTCTGTATTCAGTGTATGACTTTTGGCTTTGACAGCCTAGCATACAGGAGCAGCCTCAAGGCTCAGTGTTATGTTTGACAGCACCAAGTAAGGGTGATGAATATAAAGTACACTTACAACGTTGTGAAAAGTTACTGGAATGTTCTTATCTGTGCTGTTAAAAAAAGCACAAAGCAAACACGCACATTGTCTCTAAGGTGTTTACCAATACATTATATAGACTTAATGTAACAGCATTCTGGAATGTATGACCAAGGCATACTTCATGACTTTATTAAACTCCTAGGGAAATTCCTTTTTTTACTCTGTTATTAAATAAAAAATAGCGAATGGTTGGGGGTTTGGTTTCTTGCTCAAAGATGTTTTGGTCCTTCTGGTTCTCAAGCCGATCCCCTTCTTACTTACTGTCTGCCTCAACAACATGTCTATTAATGGTGACTTATCATAATAACTGGATTAATACTAGAATTAAGCCACTTTTTAACCTGCAATCACAAATATGCAATGTATTTATATAAACACAAGGTAACCCAGGTGAGTTTGTGTTCAGACTCAGAATTCAGAAGGGGATTGACTTGTTACATTTGTCATGCTGTTTCAATGTTCAAGTCTAATAGTGTTATTCCTCCTCTGGTCCTCCCTCCGCAGACAATGAGACTGCAGTGTACACACTCATGCCGATGGTCATGGCTGACCAGCACAGGTAAGACAGCATCAGACACAGATTTATCGCCCAGTAGGTTTAAAGACACGAGGAATTTGCCTCGGTGTACATGGTGCATACGCAAACACAGTTAAAGAAGATAACAAGTAGGTTTTAGCATAAACACACACTGATCTCAGAGCTAGAGGAAGAACACGTGTATCGAGGCTCGCTTCGCTGCTTGTTCTGTTTCATATTGTTGTTTCATTAGGAAGTCATTGACTTGTTCCTTCCTCTCTCCTAAAGGTCAGTGTCAGAGTTGCTGCTCAACTCCAAGTTTGATGTGAACTATGCCTTTGGTCGAGTGAAGAGGAGTCTGCTACACATCGCTGCCAAGTAAGATATACTCACTCTGGTCTTATAGGAAGTACACCCTTGAAGTGTGCCAGTACCCTCCTTCCTGTCCAGCAGATAAACAAGAAGATGTGTGTGGTGCAGCCTCGTGCCAAAGTAGTATATGAAAACACAGAAGTCCCAATGAGAGGGAGACCAGCCTATATTAGCCTACTGCAGATATGTGGGTATGGGTTTGCACATGGACTGAGCTGATGGAGAAACTAGTGTCTTCCTTGGATAGGTTGTCTTTGAGAGACTTTTTGCAGTTGACATTTAAACTTGAAAATGTCCCACTCAGTGTTCTTTGTGTGGTTGGTGCATTATTATATTGGTGCACAGACGAAGCAGTGCGCCTTTCAGTGGAAAAAACAGCAGGACAAATGATCATTTAAAAAAATAAAAATATTATTTTATATAAATTAATAAGATAAACAATACACACCAAATAAAATGGCAACACGCAAAAATATGCGTGTTTGCAAATACCTATGCACATTAAGCCCTCATCACTGAATGAAAACTTATTATTATATATCATAGGTTTATACATTTATATAAGGCTGGACTATTGCCTTACTCACTGTTACTGCTGCTCAAATATACTTTTGGAATCTTTCAAATCCACATTAGATTTTTTGGTTCAGGGTATATATTATAATGTGGTTGCTAAAAAATGAAATAATGATGTGTCAGATATTGAGAGGGGGGGAAGTGTTTTCAGCTGCTCTCTCTCTCTCTCTCTCTCTCTCTCTCTATCTCCTCTCTCTCTCTCTCTCTCTCTCTCTCTCTCTCTCTCTCTCTCTCTCTCTCTCTCTCTCTCTCTCTCTCTCTCTCTCTCTCTCTCTCAGCTGTGGCTCAGTGGAGTGTCTGGTTCTGCTGCTGAAGAGAGGGGCCAACCCAAACTACCAGGACATCTCCGGCTGCACCCCCCTGCACCTCGCTGCCAGGAACGGGTAAGAAACCAACATACATTGAACCTGTTTAAATGTTTGTGCTGTGTTCAGTTTGAACGTACTTCATTACATTCCACCACTGAAACAGAGTGACTTTAGGTTATTAAACTAACACTTCCCTCCACTCTTTCCTCAGCCAGAAGAAGTGTATGGGAAAACTTCTGGAATTTAATGCTGATGTCAACATCTGCAACAATGAGGGACTGACCGCTGTAAGTGAATATCATTGTAATCCTCGCTAATCGAGTGGTTGTAGTGTTACCTGCAGTCATAATGACTGTCCGTGTGACGCTGTGCTGCAGATCCATTGGCTGGCGGTCAACGGGAGGACGGAGCTGCTCCATGATCTGGTGCAGCACGTCACCAACGTGGACGTGGAGGACGCCATGGGGCAGACAGCTCTACACGTGGCCTGTCAGAACGGACACAAAACTGTGAGCCAATTAGAAAACATCTTAATTATGAAATACCAGTGTCACCATTCACTTTAGTTGCTTGTTAGGCTCCTAGGCCTTTAGGGTCTGTGCTGTATGGGCATTACGTGATGTGTTTAACAAGTAGTGGTATTGCTACTCGGCCCCTGTAAGCTCACGGTAGCGCCTTTGTGTTGCTTCACTGTTTGATCCATATTTCTTCGGACCCACTGAAATCAAGAATAGTGAAGCCTTACTGTGGTTTAGGAGCTCATCAAAATGATGTTCTCAGTCAGAATGCAAATTGAAGATTTCTGCAAGTAGAAGTTGTTTTTTAAGATATTTAAAACATTGTTTTTAGTAAGGATTATAATGCAGATAAACAGAATATTAACTCTGTATTTCAAAAGCTATGTTGTGGATACTTGAAACTGAAAGCACAATACACATTATTTGGATGGATCTCCTGTCCAGAAATATTCAAATATACCAGATTTCCTGATAACCTTGTAACCCTTTTATCATTTATCCATTACATACTGGGTTTATAGAAACTCAAGATAGTTTCTGTACAAAATGATTATCAAGTGTTTTTCACCTCCGTTTGTTTGATCTAATCACCCAGTACGCTTCCAGTATGATGAGTGTGTGTTGTGTCTGTTAGACGGTGTTGTGTCTTCTGGACAGTGGAGCCGACATCAACCGGCCCAACGTCTCCGGAGCCACGCCTCTTTACTTCGCCTGCAGGTGATGTCATCCGCCATGTCATTTTTAAACCTTGCTCCAGATGATCCTGCAACACTATATTGATTGAATTGCTTCCACTAAGAAAAAGTAGTCTCTTCCAGTAGCAATGGATGGAACTGTGCCAACGTAACTTAAAATGACAGCAACACTGATCAAAGTTTATTTTCCATGAACCTGTCTTTAAACACTGCCCCGTTACTTCTCCGCTGCTTTCTTGTTCCAGGCTGAAAAGCAAACTGCAGGCAGTTTGCTTTTCAGCCCAACTCTATACTGTTTTTCTCAGACGCGGAGGGATACTGACTTGTTGTGAAAAGTAACTTACAATTCTACCCGTGGTATACGCTCAGTATATCACGGCTAAGAACCAATCAGATTGCTTGATTTGACTTGTCCGTTTTATAATCAGAAATTGTTGCCAGTCCAACATTTTCCTGGAAGGTTTCAATGTCACACACATTGGAAAGATTCCTGTTTATGGAGCGTACAAAGATTTAGTTAAGCTATAAAAGAGTGACATCAATGCATGTAGATTTCTAATATGTTCTGTTGGTTGCTGCAACACCACCCTTCCACTATACTTAATGAATGTATGTAAAAGTGCCTTGTAAGTGCATCACTGTGATCCACTGTACAATCAGGCCAGTCTTCTTTTTGATTGTTCACACTAGGGGTGCAGGAACCTTTTCATAGAAATGCGTCATACCGTGTCTATATCTTTTTTGAGTTGAACCAATTTATAGGATATGACTGACAATGGGCACAGTGGCAGTTAGGTAGTTTGGCAGTTATACGTTTCTGTCTGCATTAGTTTTGGTACTGGCAGTTGCAAAGCAACAGTAACAGTTTCCCTATAGCTATGTTAACTCTAATTAACTCCAACAAATGTAAGAACAAAGTAGGCCTCTAAAAAGATACACTAACATCCACTCTGCATATGTGTGACGTCTTGAATGTAGCTAACGCAGAGTTTTAAATAAGTCGGACTTCAGCATATTTTCCAGTAAAAAATTGTCAATTTACCGGATGACAGAAACAATGATTGTATTGTGACCTGTCCAATGATATTCTTAAATACCTTTTACATTACATGTTAGTTGTTAGACGCTTTTATCCAAAGCGACTTACGAATTCAATACTGTGGGCAATCCCCACAGGAGCAATTTGGAGTGAAGTGTCTCAGGGACACAACGACATGCTGACTGCAGTGGGACTCGAACTTGCTACCCCCTGATTCGAAGTCCAGCACTCTATCCACTGAGCCACAGCCGCCCTTAAATGGATAGTTTACTAGTTTACTTATCCATTACTGTGTTTTCCTTTAGCCATGGCCAGAGAGACACGGCGCAGATCCTGCTCTCTCGAGGAGCCAAATACCTCGCTGACAAGAATGGAGTCACCCCTATGGATCTCTGTGTGCAGGTGAGGGCACCGCCTCATGCATTTTACACTCTTCCCTGTTAGTATTGTGTTGTTCCAGTTATGCACTTACTGTCCCCCCCTCGTGTGTGTTCAGGGTGGATATGGGGAGACCTGTGAGATCCTCATCCAGCACCACAGCAGACTCTTCCAGACCCTCATACAGATGACACAAAACGAGGAAATGAAAGAGAGCATGGTAAGCCACACTTGTACTATCCATTCAATGATAAGCCCCTCTACACGCATTGCAGTGTGTGTATATATATGTGTTTGCTTAACTTACTTGTGAGGACCAAGTGTTGAGGAACAACCTGTTTTGTGAGCACATTTTGGGTTGTCAATACAAAATCATTTTGCTATGGCCTCCTGATTGACCATACTTCATGTTTCATTTTCAGCCAAAGTCTTCATAAAAATTGTAATTATGGAAATTGGTGTGATGTGAATGTTGCTTTGGATGAACGTGTCAGCTAAATAAAATGTAAACAAAAAAATGGTGGGCTTGGGTGTGTAGCTCCGGCAGGTTCTGGAGTATGTCTCTCAGCAGAGTGACAGTCATTACCAGACGATTCTGACCAGTCTTGCTGAAGTGGCTACCACCAATGGACATAAGCTTCTCAGGTATAATTGTACATAATTATTGGATTTATTTATTTGTTTGTGTTTCTTTTAGTTGCATATGTATTGTTCTCAGTTAACTTAATTTCTCATTTCTTAAACCCATACATAAACAGAAATATAAAAACAACAATCTGTGGTTCCCATCAACTTATTCCATAATGCTTGTGATGTAAATACAGATTTAACCAACTGCAGATATTAGATTATTGAACAGTTTTCTGTATTGTCTCTGTTCCAACTGATGTCTTATTGCTTTAGTTTGTAATAGAGGAACAACGATGTTTAAAGATCACAAATACGTGCTCTCTCTTTTATCCAGTTGAATTAGAGTCAAATATACTCCTCTTCATCACTCACTGCAGGCACATGAGACAATTACATACTGTATGACCAGCATACAATCATGCCTCCCTGCATTGTACTTGTTTTCTCTGTGTCAGTGTGCTTGGTTTCATGTATCTGCATTAAAAATGGATTGTGGCTAAGATGGAGCTCCTCTTCTCTCTCTCCACCCTCAGCCTGTCCAGCAGTTATGAGGCTCAGATGAAGAGTCTGCTGAGAATCGTTCGTATTTTCTGCCATGTGTTCCTCCTGGGGCCTTCATCACCAAACAATGGCAATGATATGGGCTACAACGGCAACAAGACCCCTCGCAGCCAGGTGTTTAAGGTGAGTGGAGCTGTATGCAAATGCTACTGATCTGGATGGGCTGTGAGAGCACTATGCAGGAGCTGAGATGGAGGTAATATTATGCTCTGTGTTCTTGCAAAAGTTTGAGGATAAAACTCCAACAACAACAAAATAATAATTTAATTGCATCAAAACTAATATTTATAAATAATACTTTTAAAATTATGATTTTCTTAATGATTAACTCTTGGATATTTAATTATAAAACGCATCATAAAATATAATTGTACTTTTTTTTGTTCCCACTATATATCAGAATCAGAATATATATATATATATATATATAATATATATATATATATATATATATATTCTAGACTAATGCAGTGCATTGTTTCAGCAGGTCGAATCTGCACCATGCATTCAAAACAATATATATATATATTTTTGCAGTTGCTGTTAACTTTTGATACAAAATAACACTAACAATATTTTTACAGACAAACATTGGAGGCAACAACAATTTCGTATTGATCTTATCCTTTTTGCACAATGGAATGTAATACCTGTGTTAGTCATGTATCTTTATGACACGTGACCATTATCAAAATGTTTATTTACTTTTTTTTTTACTCAAATATGAGTATTTAGTATCTGCTAGCCTATTCTCCGGCTTTTGAAATAAAAATGAAAGAAACGATACTGTGAGAGTAGCCAAGAAACGAGCTAGAAGACTCCGAACATTCCTGATAATGCATTGTGGCTTTGTTTCTACAAGTGCTGGAAGTCATTTGCCTAGGCTGATATAAAAGCATTAGTAACAGCAGCTTAAAGCATGAATGAGTGGGGTTTGAACATGTTTTGCTTTGGCAAGTCCTGGTGGCAGTATCACAATCAATGGCAAATAATCGTACTGACCTGACTGTATCCTCTGAACTGAAGCAGCGCCATGAATTGACTCCGTTGGTTGCAGATGATTACGAGGCAGATGGAGGTGGAGACCGTACAAAAAGATGAATGTCCCTGGACAGGTTCTGCTTTCTTTGATGTGAGCCATGGATATTTTCATCTTTTGCAATTAATCACAAACCTCTGCATGTCAATAACATTGACATGTTGACATTTGAGAAGTATGATCTCTGGAACCCTGTATTCCCTTAATCCTACTCACTATGGTCAGTTAGCTGGGTTTACCTTCCATCTGTCCCTGAATGAACATCTGACGGATGATTTACTCTGATGTATAATAACCTGTTTGAAGATGATTGGCACTGTTGCATGTTGGTGGGTTTGAACACTTAAGGCGGGCAATATGGTTCAAACATTCTGTTGCATTACAGTACACAACAGTATATTGCATGATTGGCACACATGATTTTGTTCACTATAACTAAATATGTTTACATCAGAACATACATCTATTAAGGTCTTTCCAATCCTGTGAATGTAATCTAGTTCTGCTCAAAGATTCCCCACACTGCCTACACTAACCTGACTCAACAGAAATATCCCACGTGAAGAGGAATTATGTGCGAAGAAATGTATGACTTTTCTCTACAGCACGTGGCTCCACATCCATTTGCTAACTGCTCATAAAAAACATATTTTATTGAAAAAAAGAGGACTATAATACAATGAATACATGTTTATTTTACTGCTGATGTGGATGATGCTATAAAGAGATTATGCCCAGGCAGTACCTAAAAACCCTCCTTATCATGCAGGTTTTTAAAGGGTTAGTTCACCCAAGTAACAACAGAACATCCAGCCATTCAGATAGAGGTGGTTTTGAGACCACATAAAACCTCCTGTCTGTTAGATATCAATGAAGATGTGAATACAGAATACAGAATACAGTGAAGATGGCAAGTTTTCACAGGGACTATTTCTTCCATAGAAGATAGTTCCAAAGAACTAAATACCATAGAATATGGACTATGCAAAGGGGAAACTATTCGGAAACAAGATGTTCTTGTTTTTAATTGTCAGTTTAAGGGCGTTGCAAACAAACAAAACATCTGTTCATTATGCTGATATGGAGGAGAATATTCAGAGACAAGTATCTCATATCCTGAATAAAATGTATGTTGTCCAAAGAGGTAAGTAAGGACTTTTTTTGTTGTCATTTTGATAAACCATACTAATAAAACCAACTTCTATGCTGCTTTACTCAGAATGTGGTCATTCTCTGGAGCTTTTTCTTCTTTAAAATGAAATCTCTGAATGTAAAACCTCTTGTAAGTGTCTTCAGGGATCTCTCACCTCGTGTGTCTCTCCACAGCCGATGGAGCTGCTGTGGCACTCCCTGGACGAGTGGCTGGTGCTTATCTCCACAGAGCTGGACAGGAACAGGAAGAACCCGTCCTCCTCCTCCTCCAGCAGCGAGATAGCCTCTCTGCTCCTCAAACAGCGGGAGGCGGAGCACTCAGGCTCCACGCCCTCGCTGCCCTCGCTGCTCGACCCTCAGACGGGGATGGAGACGGAGGTGTACGCGGACGGGGAGGACGTTATCTCCATGACAGCCAGCCGCCTCAGCGCCGTGATCCAGGCCTTCTACATGTGCTGCTCCTGTCAGATGCCACAAGGGTCAGCCTCCACCTGTCAGCCCTCATATCATATTATCAATATACGGAGGAAAATGACATATTGGTACTGCGTGTCTGTAGGAGTTCTGAAGCTGCGTCTAGGTCACAGCTGATGCTAACCCTCTCCTTGTGAAACCATCCTTATCTTTTCGGGGCTCACCTGCTCAGTAGTGTACTCAAGTACTGTACTCCACTACATTTATCTGACAGCTTTCATTAATAGTAACTTTTCAGATTAAGATTATTAGCTAGAACAAAATACAAGTCTACTGATAAATAAACATAATATCCAGGAGCAGTATTTATCAAGTGATTATAATAAGCTTCACCTTTGAATGCAGTAATTAAATATATATGTTTCTGAAACGGAGTACTTTTACTCTTAGTACTGTAAGTATATTTTGATGCCAAGACTGTTGTACTTTACTCATAGACTTTGAATGCAGGACTTTTACTTGCAACAGAGTATTTTTAAATGTTTTATTGAGAAGTGCTACTTTTACTCAAGTAAGAAATCGGAGTACTTCTTCCACTGCTGCGCCTGCTACAAACATACTCGCTAATGCTAATGCTACATTACTTCATACTGCTCTCACATTTCTCTATTACTATTCAAATGAAGGATACTTGCTGCTTATCCATGGGTCAAGTGTACATGTGCAATGAGGCCAGAGGCCAGTCAATAACAACAATTATATTTATCCAAATGAAAGGAATTATCAGTAAAAGGCCTATAAGTACTATATTATATATTTCACTGATATTGCAATATGATCCCTGATATTAGAGGGATTGATCATATTTGCGTCATCAATATCGTTGAAAAATATCAGGTGTGATTTAAAATAAAAAATGTTGCTGTACCAAACAAATTCGGTTAGATCTTTTGGCCACAATACATCTGTAGCATTTAACATCGTGCCTCCTTTGATTTGCATATTTCAGTAGTCCATATTGAGATATACATACAGTACCATTTAGATTATTTTGCAGCCCTAGCTATAACTCACAAGTCAGAAATATTGACCCTGGACTTAATGACGTACAAATCAGATATTCTACTGTAATCTTTTAAAATTAGAATACGGTTGACAGGCACCATTACTCAGTTATAAAATATATGTATTTGTAAATGCCTAAACAGATTCTGTGGTTGAGATTGTGCTGTCTGACTCACTTCCTCTCCCTCACTCTTCTCCTCCCTCTCTCTCCTCATGCAGAATGACGTCCCCTCGCTTCATAGAGTTTGTTTGCAAACATGGCGAGGTGCTCAAGTGTTTTGTAACCAGGTGAGTGCCATACTTCAGCCTCCTGCTCAGCAGCACCTACAGACTTGATCCAGAAACCTCTTTCCTTTTACCTTGAGGCCACTTGTATCACTTCCCACGTCCTCTTCCTCCCCCTGTTGCTCCTTCTGTCTCCTGTCCTTCAGGAATCCAAAGATCATCTTTAACCACTTCCATTTCCTCCTGGAGTGTCCAGAGTTGATGTCACGCTTCATGCATATCATAAAGGGCCAGGTAAGACGGGATGGAATATTTCATTAAATGTGTTGAGGGATTTATGGAAGCACATTTTTAAGAATGAAAAGTACCCTGTATTTATTAAAGAATATAGATAGCAGCTGTAGTTCTGCTTTTTTCACAATACAATATTCATTTTTATTTTCAAATGTGAGTTTCTTTACAAATCAAATTTGAATTTAAAATATTCATAGACGGCCACTATGACCCAGTATGCGCTCCTCCAAAGTGACTGGTAGATTAATCGATTAGGCATTTCACTATTCAACTCTTTTGATGATTAATTAATGATTGAATTAATTGATAAAGCAGGTTTTTTTCCAGCTACTTTTTTAAATATTTTAAGCTGAATATATTTGGTTTTTGGGTAAAATGTTATAGACAAACAACAATGACTTTGAACTGTCAATGTCCCGTTATATATACTATGGTCACAGTTCTTATAAATAAATACAACTTCATATATCATTTAAAGATTTTTCTAAATTACAACTATGAATCTGTTTTAGCCTTTAGAGTCCAGTGTCAATGAAGCCAACATGACTTCAAACATGTCTGACATTTGCTGCAATTTCTTATCGGTGAATGCTGATACTGATGTATATATGATGAAGCAATAGCATTCATAGGCTGACATGCCTGGTATCACTTCTCCTCACATAGATGATTCCTGGCAGGACTTTTTGAAATGGGCCACCATTTATCATCTCCCAAAGAAATGTCTCCTCTCAACCTACACTGTTTAATTAGCGTTTTATGCAAACTGCACTGAGGCTCCAAAAGTATTCACCTTATTCTTTGTCCTTTATTTACTGTGTGTGTATGTTTGTGTCTACAGGGACTTTTTGTAAAGTAACTTTGAAAGTCTCCTGTCTTCACTTCAGGATCATTTACCGGTGTTACAACACGGCGATAACACTTGTCTAAAATCCCGTTTTGTATGGCTTCATACATTTTAAGTGCTGCCGCGCGTTGTGTGCAGTTCTCACTCTTTAGAATTCATATTTGAGCTGCAGCGCTCCAGCCTCGTTACCCATGGATTATGGCTCGCCTGGGAGTAGGCCCTTGTTTTAATTACAGACTTTAACCTGGTGAATTTGATTTCATCTCCTGATTCCTCTCAGTACGCCCTGCAGCCCCAGGGGGAAAAGCCGTTCTCACTCTACCACGCTCATCCTTCACTCTTCCTCCACTGCTCAGAGAACAAAGGCATACATAATGCAAATAGACCCTAGCCTCATCTCTGTATTACAGAGTGTTTCAGCTCTGAAGGCTTTCCCAGCCGTCGGTAGAGACTGAAAAATCCTCAGTCTGAGAGTTGAAAGCGCAGCAAAGTGGTATTAGTTTAGGAAAGTGCTGTGCAGCGTGAGATAAAGTCTTATTTTCTCTCCTCAGCCCTTCAAGGAACGCTGTGAGTGGTTCTACGAGCATCTGCATGCCGGCCAACCAGACTCAGACATGGTTCATCGCCCGGTCAATGAGAACGACATCCTGCTGATCCACAGAGGTACACAGCCTCTTCACACATGAACACAGGAAGTGCATGGTGATCAGAGGAACTCCATTCACAGATGATATTTACAAACTAATGTTTTGAAGCCTTTCTTATAGAGTGGTGCAGTGATGACGTATTTTTGAATGGCTCACCAGGAAGTAAGCATCGCAATGGCTCCCTCAACAAAAGAAATAGGATTTCCCTAGTGGATTTAGATATGTGGCAAACACACGCTTACGATTCTTTTACGTTTCGCTCAGCAGGATAATCTCCACATATTAACATCACTTTGAGATATTGAAGCATGAATGCAATCGGTAGAAATTAAAAGCTAACATAAAGTTAAAAACAAACTACATAATGGTTGCATAGCTTTGAATTAACACTGCAAAGCTAAAAACAGGAACTGAAAGTGGTGAAAGGCTTTTCCGGGTTTTGGAGTCCCTGGACTCATTACTGCACCGCTCTATTGGCAAATGCACATAGAATTAGTGAGTGGAAATGTGCCACTTGTTGCACAGTGTGAACATTCAGTGACTACAGTGGCGAGCCATCAGGGCCCTCGAGTTATATTTTTCATTAATTTTACCAAAATAACTTGATTTAATTGTATTTAAAATAACATTTCCAAAGAAATAAATCCTTCGAATCTGCCTATTCAGTTTCTGTTGGAATGTGAAGGGTTAAATGAAAGAAGCTTGTCTCTGCGAGGTGAAGATAGGAGCTGGTTGATGGTCCAGCTAGGGTAACTCAACGAGTGAGTAATGTCAACTGACAGTACAATTGAATTGACCTATCATATCGTCCCTCTAAATGGGTGGGCTTTATTATCGTGGATAAGTTCAGCCCGCTGGGAAGTTTATGCATGTGTTATGACAACGGGTCAAGATTTCCATAGCAACAACAACATCCTGTCAACAGCGTAAACTCGCCTTCAAAATAAAAGCATTTCCATAAAAAATAGGAAGCCAAGCCAAATTACACTTAAGACATATATACAACTGCAACGAAAGTAACACACACGATGCAATATCCTTTTCAATTTCAAAGAACACAAATTGGGTTATTTACAGGTGTTGTTTTGTGTGGTAGAGGGTCGCTGTCATTGATGCGTTTTTCACCCCGGACCGTTGTTTTGATATTCCGCTGAAATATACGCTGTGACGTAATAACTCTTTTATTCGAGGGAAGGGGGGGGTCAGAGGGCTAGGGTATAAAAGTCACGGCTCGCCACTGAGTGACTACAATAAGCCCAAAACAGACCTACCATTACCTCCCTGGAAGAAGTGTTATTAACTGGATTTGGAACATGCAGGCTGAGGCATTTTGATGCTGCTTTAGTGTCTGAGTGTTTTTGCAGATACATGTGAGATGGCCTGATGAAGGATAGGTCAGCTTGAGTTATAAAACCATGACTTTTTAATACCATGAGACATCGCATGTTACATTGTCACATCTTTTTGTCTAGTAATCTAGCAGAAACACAAACTTGCATGTTGGCTAACAACAGTTCACTGTTGGCACTTCCGCTGTATCACCACATTGGTTTACATTTTTTTGCACGCCTCATGTCGGTCTTATCGATGCTAAAGATCTTTTAATCATTCAGATCACAATCCAAAAAGAACGCCTAAAGCTGCTATGGTCTAAAAACATCTCCATCTCTCTTCGACATATTTTTCACCTACATGTTTTACTCTACAGTAGACTAATTCTAGTTTTGTTTGCCCTCACCAACAGATTCTATATTCAGGAGTAGCTGTGAAATGGTTTCTAAGTCCACCAATGAGAAACTCAAACAGGGCATCGCTGTTCGTTTCCATGGCGAGGAGGGGATGGTGGGTTTCTGAATTCATATCACACTGCATGAATCCTTTTCTGTTCCAGCAGTCTGCTGATGAATAAAAGAGCTCCAGTCCCATGTCTGATCTCTCTTCCTGTGTGTTTCTGTGTCCCAGGGTCAGGGGGTGGTCCGGGAGTGGTTTGACGTCCTGTCCAATGAGATCATCAACCCAGACTACGGTCTGTTCACACAGTCAGCTGATGGTACATGGTGTTTTCCTTTACCCTGACAACATTCAGTGTGACTATGTCGAACTTAATCCTGTAGAATAACTGTGTGTGTGTGTGTGTGTGTGTGTGTGTGTGTGTGTGTGTGTGTGTGTGTGTGTGTGTGTGTGTGTGTGTGTGTGTGTGTGTGTGTGTGTGTGTGTGTGTGTGTGTGTGTGTGTGTGTGTGTGTGTGTGTGTGTGTGTGTGTGTGTGTGTGTGTGTGTGTGTGTGTGTGTGTGTGTGTGTGTGTGTGTGTGTGTGTGTGTGTGTGTGTGTGTGTGTGTGTGTGTGTGTGTGTGTGTGTTGTGTGTGTGTGTGTGTGTGTGTGTGTGTGTGTGTGTGTGTGTGTGTGTGTGTGTGTGTGTGTGTGTGTGTGTGTGTGTGTGTGTGTGTGTGGTGTGTGTGTGTGTGTGTGTGTGTGTGTGTGTGTGTGTGTGTGTGTGTGTGTGTGTGTGTGTGTGTGTGTGTGTGTGTGTGTGTGTGTGTGTGTGTGTGTGTGTGTGTGTGTGTGTGTGTGTGTGTGTGTGTGTGTGTGTGTGTGTGTGTGTGTGTGTGTGTGTGTGTGTGTGTGTGTGTCACAGGCACCACTTTTCAGCCCAACAGTAACTCGTCGGTGAACCCGGACCACCTAAACTACTTTCAGTTTGCGGGTCAGATCCTTGGTCTGGCTCTTTACCACCGGCAGCTGGTCAACATCTATTTCACCCGCTCCTTCTACAAACACATTCTGGGTAAAGAACACTCATGTCTGTGGAAAAGAGTCACAATAGTGTCTTGGTTGATAGTATAAAATGATTGGGCCATTTGCGTTTAACCTTTTAAAGTGTTATTACTAGCATAACATTTCACGCTGGAATCAGCGTGACTTCCTCTGCCATGTGATGATTGAATATACAAGAAAGGCATGGCTTATAACATCAGATCTAAGAGCTGTAACAACAACAACAATGTGGCTGGTTGCTATCGATACATGAGAACAGTACACACAGGAACAGCTAGAGCAGTGTTTCTCAAACTTTTTCATACCAAGGACCACTTAACCAATAAAAAAACACTCGCGGACCACCTAACTCCACACATATAACAAAACACATAGTTTTTTTAGAACAGATTAGAAATCGCCTGAAAATGGTACAAACAAGTGGCAACATGTGTGATGAAGGTGTTGCGCTGGGCTATATCATGCAATCAAAAGTGAAACTTAACATCGCTCCATTGGGGAGATATTCCCGCGAGAGTGCGGAAACTTACATTTATTTATTTATTTCAAATGTGAAATGTTACCAATATACTCACGGACCACTAGGGGGCGCTCACGGACCACCAGTGGTCCGCGGACCACACCTTGAGAAGCACTGAGCTAGAGGCTAATTTAAATAATATTTCCAGGTTACATCACCCAAAACAATATATCACTGTTCGACTCTGTAATTTTCACATAACTGTAGTGATGTTTTGATCATTTGTAAGGTTTATAGGTATAGCAGGATCCGTCATTTATTCCTTGATTATTATTCTAAAGTTAGTTAATTTGTTTAAAAAAAATACAGGATTGGATTGTACAGTATAGATGTTGAACCCTAGTGAATATCAAAGATGAAAATGTTTTGTTAAAACACACGTTTTCAAAATAAATAAATTCCATACTTATAGCAGATTTATAGCAGTTTGTTTAGCTGTACTTGTGAGGACCAAGTGTTTGAACCTTTTGGGTTATCCTCACAACAACATTTCTGCAACGGCCTCCTGATGGCTGATACTTCATGCTGTTGTGCATCTGTTCTGCAGGCATCCCAGTGAACTACCAGGACGTGTCGTCAATCGATCCAGAGTACGCCAAGAACCTGCAGTGGATTCTGGACAACGACATCAGTGATCTGGGTCTGGAGCTCACCTTCTCCGTAGAGACGGATGTGTTCGGGGCCATGGAGGAAATGCCGCTTAAACTGGGAGGGACCAGCATTCTCGTCACCCAGGAAAACAAGGTCAGACACAAACACACGCAGAGGCGGGGCAACGTTCAGTGGTTTATTTTACATTCATATTATATTCATTATAGGTCAAATAGAGATCAGGTTCTTCCACTTGGGATTAGGATACCCCAGAAGGGTCCGAAAAAGAAAAAAAGATGGATGGATAATAATAAAAAAAGAAATAATAAAACAGGTTGGAAGCGCGCTAAAAAGTCTATTATGTTGACACTTTGTGGTCGTAAGAAAAGCAATGTGCTCTCACTACACAGCCTGTCCTTTGAGGAAGTTAAATGCAGCCACATATATCACTACTCAAGGAGAGGGGGGTCACTAAACTGCATGTAAACCTGTTGTCCAATTTTCTACATCCTATTTCTCGAGTAACCTGGTTTCTTGTTGTCATGGAAACTTGATGTCAACTTGACTTAACTTCAATTTAAAAACAGGGCTGAATGTCAAGAGGCTACATTTCTTTCCTTCTTTACAAAATCAGGTTTGATAGTGTTAGCTGCGATGTTTAAATGTTAAATATGGCCGGGATAATTGACAGAATTAACTATGCATAACATTTTTAGTAAAAAGGTATTTTTATAGAAGGTTATTTGATATTTGTACACATTGTACCAAATTACATCTAACATATGAATTAGTTAGTATTATTAGTAAGTGACAGGGTTCCATTAAACAGACCTAAGCTAGCTGTTTTCCCCTGTTTCCAATCTTTTTTTAAGCTACGCTGACTAGCATTTATCTGAATCAGAGTGGTATCAATCTTCTCTAACTTTCAGCAAGAAGGAAGTACATTTCAAACTACCCCTTTTTTAAATGAAGTTCCTGTAAGGTTATGTATATTTAGCAGCAGGTTGTGTGCCTAAAGACTTTAGGTACCCAAACATATGCTGTTTGAATGCAGCTTACTTTGAATACTAAGCTTTGCCAAACGTCAGGTCATTTTCATAGATTGGGTTGATTTAAATATGCGGCGTCCACAATTAAAACATCTTACAAATGTATCTGAGACAATCTGCATATTTTAGACTGGCTCTTTCTCTTTGGTTTTAAAGTTTTGACTGGTGTCTTACGTGTATGTTGTTTATGACAGAGTAAAGTATGCATAATTAATGAGCAATTTAAGTTCCCCTCTAGTATATTCATCTGAAGTTGGTCTCTTATGAGCGATTGATCTCTGCTCCAGCTAATTGCCACGAAGAGTCCCAATTACAGGGTGCAGTACTGCAGTGCTCCTGCAGAGGGCACTGTCTTCAAGCAGGAGAAGCAGGAGCCGAGAGAATAACTATGTATGAGTTCTGACTCTTATCTATCAGTGTGAATACGTGGGGACTCTGAACCGCGGTTGTTTGTGTGTCCTCTCTCAGGCCGAGTACGTGCAGCTGGTGACGGAGCTGAGGATGACGCGGGCCATCCAGCCTCAGATAAACGCCTTCCTGCAAGGATTCCACACGTTCATCCTCCCCTCGCTCATTCAACTTTTCGATGAATACGAATTGGTTAGTCATCCTCCTCCTGTCTCTTTCTACTTCTCTCATCCGACCTCTCTCACTGTTGCCATTCTCCTTGTTTCCCTGCCTGCCCGCTCGGCTCTGATGCAGGGATTGATTAGCCATGTCTGGATGGGGCAGGGTGCTAGGGTCACCTTGAAGCCCGTCCTTCCTTCCAACTCCATTAGAGGGTTTTTTCTGTGTGCGTCGGCAGATTTAATGTCCTGATCAATATTGTAGCATGATGATTATCCCAGCGTGCATTTGTCGGACATGCCTCGGACTCGCTGTCATCGCAGGACATCTGAACAGCTCATCACTGTCACTCTGATCGACTAAAATAATCCCCTTACAGAGTCAAACCAACAATGAAAGTGTTTACTAATGTGTGAGTTTCCAAAGCCTGAAATATCTTCTTCCTCTGTGCTATAGAGCTTTATTGTTGTCCAAAGATTGTTTAAAACAAACCAACTGCAGCCCTGTACCTTTTTATTAACTGTAGTTTATATGAACTCAGATTCACACAACATCCTTCAGCCTCACTGGAAAACCACATGTGTTGTTCTGCTGCTGAAAGTCATACATGTCTATCACAAGCAGTAGAAGAATTGTCCCTCAATAAAATTGTCTAAAATATACCTACATTTTTGTTGAAAGAGGAACAATTCAATCAAAGATTTATAAAATAATAAGATTACAAAAGCAGACTGATGCACATGAAATACTGTTTCTTATTACAAAAATATATAACTGTAGTGTTTCCGCTTACAGTTCAATCCCAGCAGAAAGCCAGCTCAGTTTCCACCGTAGATTACCTTACATAAAGATACAATTATTTCTACACATTGAGGTCTAAATATTTTAAATACGAATAAAAAAAAGCATTATTAATAAATATAAATACACTTCATGGAGCTATTGGAATTGATATCAGAACATTTATTCAGTTAAAGATCTTTACAACCAGTTAAGAAATCAAACTGCAACATCTATAGGCGGGCGAGACGAAGGTTCAAGTCCCTATCGGACCAAAACACAGAGAGTGGACTGATAGCTGGAGAGGTCATTTTTACTGTGTGTGTGTGTGTGTGTGTGTGTGTGTGTGTGTGTGTGTGTGTGTGTGTGTGTGTGTGTGGTGTGTGTGTGTGTGGTGTGTGGTGTGTGTGTGTGTGGTGTGTGTGTGTGTGTGTGTGTGTGTGTGTGTGTGTGTGTGTGTGTGTGTGTGTGTGTGTGTGTGTGTGTGTGTGTGTGTGTGTGTGTGTGTGTGTGTGTGTGTTGTGTGTGTGTGTGTAGTGTGGTGTGTGTGTGTGTGTGTGTGTGTGTGTGTGTGTGTGTGTGGTGTGTGTGTGTGTGTGTGTGTGTTAGTGTGTGTGTGTGTGTGTGTGTGTGTGTGTGTGTGTGTTGTGTGTGTGTGTGTGCTGTGTGTGTGTGTGTGTGTGTGTGTGTGTGTGTGTGTGTGTGTGTGCTGGTGTGTGTGTGTGTGTGGTGTGTGTGTGTGTGTGTGTGTGTGTGTGTGTGTGTGTGTGTGTGTGTGTGTGTGTGTGTGTGTGTGTGTGTGTGTGTGTGTGTGTGTGTGTGCTGTGTGTGTGTGTGTGTGTGTGTGTGTGTGTGTGTGTGTGTGTGTGTGTGTGTGTGTGTGTGTGTGTGTGTGTGTGTGTAGGAGCTCCTGCTGTCAGGGATGCCAGAGGTGGATGTGGAGGACTGGTACAGGAACACAGAGTACACCAGTGGCTACGACCCTCAGGAGCCGGTCATCAAGGTGGGCTTTCTTCTTCTGTCTGACATCACACACACTACATGTATCCATGAAGCTTTGCAGTTGGCATGTTATTTAAAATGTGATTTGTTCTGTTCATCATAGTGCACATCAATCAAAGCGCAACCGTATTTACACATTCCATGATCTAAAATTAGAAATCCTCTTATTAGTCCCAAAGCTGGGAAATGTACATTCCAACAGCAAAGAGACAGAAGAGAAAAGGCAAAAAACACGAGTAGACTAATATAATTAATAGGGATGTAACGATACCAAAAACTCACGGTACGATAATATCGCGATAACAAGTCCACGGTACGGTATTTACGATATTGAATAATACATTTAATAAAAAAAAATTTCAATAAACATTTTTTTACTCAGAAAATGTTTCTTTATTACATAATAAATCTGATTTGTACAGCATTTTAGTAGGATAGCAGTATTTTAAAGTGTCAAAAATAAAGTGACAGTAACAGACTGGAACAAGTGTTGTTGTACCTATAGTACTACCAAACAAAGTAGGCATTTTCTTTGTGCCACTGCACCTCACAAATAAACAAAGACATTTAATAATCAGACCCTGCAATAAGATAAATCAGGTTTCACTTTAGTTTTTCAAGTAACTCAACTCAAACTCACTAGTCACTCACTCAGCATCATCAGACAGGTTTTTAGGAATATGAGAATGTCCACATTTCCAGGTATTTATAAGCTGGGATGTTTGGGCATTTACAATATCCCCTGCTCTGGAAAAAACTCTCTCGCTTGGTACTGATGTTGCTGGGACAGCAGTGGTCGCGTTAACCGAATATTTTATTTATCAATGACGGAAAAATCTGAAAGCAGTCTGTCATTTTGACAGATTAGAACAAACTCGGAACAGCGCCAACGTTTCCCCGCAGCGAGGCTCCGGTGTTATGCCGTGGTATGCATGCCCTCCAAAAGGAAATGATATAGTTTCCAAACCGTACTTTGCCTACAGATCAACACATGTCTGGGAGGTTTTGCTTTACGCTGTGTGCGCTCCCACGAGGTGCATGCACACACGGCATAACACCGCCCCCCCCCCCGTTGACAGTTCACGAGCGTGCTCTCTTGTGAACTGTTCAGACCCGACGGGTAATAAGGGATTATGACGGACATTTTACGATCCTGTCTGTCAAAATGACGGACAGCGAAAAAGTCTAACGCCACCTCAGTAGGACGGAGAGATATGCTTTGGCCATGGGTGACAGCAGTGGGTCAAACTGTGCATTGTCTTTCCACCACTTCAAAAACAATACAGTTTTTGCCAAGAAGGTGAGGCTTATTGACAGAGATATAAATATACTGTTGGTACTTGTCAATGTCTCTAGGTATGTACATGTAGCCCTGTAAATACGATGTCCTTTTGTGTTCTGTTGTAACCTACTTGCTGCCATGTTGGACAGGTCTCTCTTGAAAAAGAGATCGATGATCTCAATGGGACCACCTGGTTAAATAAAAGTGTTTTAAAAAAAAAAAAAATAAAAAAAAAAAATCGCGGTAGATTTTGTCAGTCTCACGACGGTATTGGTACGTTTATTTACCGCGATATTCGGTATATCGTTACATCCCTAATAATTAATAAAAAGGCAAGCATGTAAAGGCACATCGAAAAAGTACAGATCCATGGATAAAATATAAGTTGCAGCATTATAAAAGCAAGTGAACATATTCAAGTAGTGAAGAAGCAGCTTTAATAACACAAATACATTGTACAAATATATATATTGCAGTAGTTAGGGAGTAGGGGGAAATGACTGCCCTTGCCGGCCTCTTGTTACAAAAGTCAAACCAACAGAAATCACCATCTGTTAATTACAGTAACTAAAAACACTTTTAAAACAGCAAATTCTAAAATGCCTCAGAGTATTTTGAACCTAGTTGAAATGTTTCCATGTTCAGTGATGTGTTCAAATGTTCCAAGCTTACAGGGACAATACTAGGGGGAGTAAATACATGGACTTGCATTGCCATTCACTCTTGAATGATTATGATGAATTATTACGAATAAATAGAGAGCCCCCTAAAAAATCTGTAAAAACTTGATTATTTTATTGAAAAGAGTCAAATGCTGAATTAGAGTCAGTATGGCTTTCGGATTTCAGAACAATTGAGTAGTTATTTGGATAATAGACAACAATATGTACAATTAGCTGGTAATACATCTGAATATATAAAGATTAGACATGGAGTCCCACAAGGTTCAGTGTTGGGATCTAAACTCTTTTTTGTATATTAATGACATTTGTCAAACGTCCAAGTTACTCAAATGTTTGTTTGACACAAGTCTTTAGTTCAGGGGATGATTTAAATATTGTGGCAGAAAGTATTGTAAATCAAATGAACGGATGAATGAAAATAAAGTACAAATAGGATCAAATGACAGATAAACAAAACCAGTGTATATACATATCAACTCTAGAACAAATATAAAGTATCCAAAGAAAACACAATATGGAAAATACTGAATATAGTTGAATACTTTATTATAGACATATCAACTACAAAAACCAAAAAGATTATGGACATATGATACTATAAAGTGCAGCTGCGTGCATCATGTTTACTTATCCCAAGATAAGATGAATCTTGAGCTTGGTGAGTATGGTTGGGCTTTCACGCTAAGTTGCACACTGATGCCATCGACCCACACTACATCAAAAAAGGAGAATTGTGATGGAATGATTGACCAACGTGGGTGGGATAGCAGTAACATGCTGCTACTGACACACTATGTTTCTTCTCTGCAATGCTGGCAAATGTGTTGTTCTATTGATCAAATAATATGAATAATGTGTCTGTTTTAATCATGAATTATTACAGACACGCTATTTTAGGAAAGTAGAAAGTTGTCACGCAGGGAATAAAAAACGATTTATAAAAATCTGAAATATTGATGAATATTCCGTTCCACTGCTTCCAAACGGCTGGAACCGCGGCTACAGCAATGTAACTTAAAATGACGGCAGCACTGAGCCCATACCATGTTCCTGTTAGTGTTGACTTCCTGTCTGTCTTCTCCTGCTGTTCCCTTTATTGTTAACTTCCTGTCTGACTTATGTGACGTCCAGCGCTCTTTTTCTTACTGACATTACATTCACCGGACTTCTTTCTGCAGATTGATATGCCTGCACATAGTCCCCTGATCCTCCCTAGCAACGCTCTGTCCTCCTTAGCAACGCTCTGTTAGCGAAAATGAACAACCTCTGGAATATCCAAATTGACCAATCAGAATCTATTGTTTAACGAAGCCGTGTAAGTGTGGTGTTATAATGTTGTCCTCTGAATGAGCTCCTGTGTGTCCTGCAGTGGTTCTGGGAGGTGGTGCACAGTCTGACCCAGGGGGAGCGGGTTCTGCTGCTTCAGTTTGTCACTGGAAGGTTCGTGTGCTGATTTCAATAAAGTCGTAGACAAAGAAGAATGTGTGAATGTTCATCATATGGTAACAGAGAGTCCTTCTCCACCAGCTCCAGGGTTCCTCACGGGGGCTTTGCCTTCCTGATGGGGGGCAGCGGGCTACAGAAGTTCAGCATCGCTGCAATGCCATTCACCTCCAACCTGCTGCCTACCTCCAGCACCTGGTAAGGCTCTCTGTCAGTGCTCAGGAAACAATCTATATTCTCGGAGAGGCTAAGGTCCAAAGATGTGGCGAAAAACTGTAATTTAAACAAAAAATGAAATGATCAACTTATTACAACATGCACAGAAATGTTGTACAAATAATCACAGCTCTGGAAAAAGTTTGCGGTCAACAAAAAATATAACAAGTCTCTATATTAATTCTAATATTACAAACAATAACAGCTACCTGGTCACCATATTGCCCACTTGATAGAGCCGACGGCCGGGGTTCGAACCCGGCCTGGGACCATTTACAGCATGTCTCCCCCCCCCGCGGTGGTTTTGAAATGCTCCCGATTTCTGAGGTCTCTAGGTTGGCAAGGATGCTCAGATATGGCCAACCCCTTTGTTTGTTATTCTTGATGACTGATCAAACAAAGTTCATAGTACTGTACATGACCTTCAAAGTGGTCACTGCTGTTCAACCAAGACATCAAAGATGTGTCCTCTGCTCAGAGATTGTATTGATAGGAAAAGCTGCCTTTCACTCAGCATATCCAGGCAGCAGCCGATACACGTCTACAGTGAAACACATGAGCACATACTACAGTTTCAAAAAGCAGAAATACAATCTGAACAAAAAAGAGGAATGAAATCAAAAATCCTTTATTTGTCCCGCAGCAGTTCAATTTACAAAAAAGGATTTCTGATTGAATTCTTAAAAGTAGTCTTAATGGAAGCAATAAAGCATATTCCGGCAGCACGCCTAATATCATATTTGAAACTAGAGGCCACGATGATGGACTGGAAGATTAGCTATGGTTTCACTCAAGACTCGTTTCCCTCCGTGTTGAGAGACTTGTGACTGCATGTGCTTTTAAAGTATATTGTAACATTGGATTTTTGCTAGAAATCCCATTTATTTAGAATAAGGGACTACATGTTATCCGTCTCTCCCCGGCCTGTCCCCCAGCAGCCTGAGCTGAGGGACAGCTGTTGCCCGGCACTAGAGGGCAGTGTGTCTCTGCTGTCAGGTATTCATATCAACGCAGCTCTTTCTTCTGTCACGACTAAAGAAACACCTTTCCTCCTCTTCCTCTTCCTCCTCCTCCTCCTCCTCCTCCTCCTCCTCCTCCTCCTCCTCCTCCTCCTCCTCCTCCTCCTCCTCCTCCTCCTCCTCCTCCTCCTCCTCCTCCTCCTCCTCCTCCTCCTCCTCCTCCTCCTCCTCCTCCTCACAGTATCAACATGCTGAAACTCCCAGAGTACCCGAGCCAGGAGGTCCTGAGAGACCGGCTGCTCGTAGCACTGCATTGTGGGAGCTACGGCTACACCATGGCGTGAACACCTCATCGTTGTGCTGCTGTGAGTGTGTGCAGACTGCTCTGTGTAGTCAGACGCTGCTCATGCTGGACATCACAAAGGGAACGCCTCTGACTAATGAGCTGCTGTAGAGGAGCACAGACTGATGGAGGGACAGGTTCTGGATCCATACCTGTGCCAGAACCTCAACTTCCTTATTATCATTATTCAAGCTGTTATCTGCTAATTATGCAAATTGTTATTTAGTATCTTCTGAATATCACTATTTTCATGCAGTTATCTGATGAAGACAGCATTTATACCACAAATCATTTACTGAAGACACAGGATAATAATGATAATCACGATTAAGCATATTCATGCATGCTTACTGAATGTCAAATATGGATTTAGCATATGGAGCTCTCCATATGGAACCCGTGCATAGAATCAATTTCCCTGCATCATATCCATATCACAGCTTCACAGTGCAGAGGTCAGGCGCACAGACACAGAACTGCGCGTCCTAGTAGCTCTTCTCCAGATCCAAAACCACACACTATCACGACTGGGTGTTATTAGAGGATCACAACGCGAAGGTTCGAATATGAAAGCTGATTTTGATACTTTATTGCACTGTGGAGGAACCTACTTTGTTTGTTATGTTTGCCAAACTTTGAAACATATAGTCAAATCAAAGCACTTAATGACCAAAAATGTCTAGTCACATTCAAGCCTTTGTTGATAGGTGATGATTGCATTCCAAAACCATAAGCATTACAAAGCAGCTACACAGCATGAGTCCTGATGGAGGCTGATGGCTGGAGCTCCTCACACCAGAGAAGCCTTTGTTTCTGCAGCTGGCTGTGTGCACGTTGAGAGGAGGGAGGAAAGGGCCAAGCACACACTGTTGGCTCAGAGTGGGAAGAACACTGTCTGTCTGTGTATGTTGTAATATTAGGATTAAAGCTGCTTTCACATGATGCACGATTAGCTCTTATCGCACCGTGGTGTTGGGGGGGCAGAGCCTGGCTGTGGTACTAATGGTTACCTCCCCTGCTAGCTTAAGATAAGATGGACTTGTATTGATCCCCATTGGGAAATGCAGGTGTTAAAGCAGCAACAGAATAAGACAGTAACCCAAAGTAAACATGAGAATACACACAAGGATAATAATAATAACAAAATAAACATGTAGTAACAGTATAAATGTACACAGCAAGGTTAAATATCTACACATTTAAATGTGCGGGTGAAAGTTCTATGTGTTGTAAAGGCTTGCGCCGCTACACATAGCTGTTATCTGATCAGTAAGTGCACCTACAGCTCAATGGCAAACAAGGTCAAAGTAGAAATCATCTGAATTTTATACGCAGCGCTTGGTGACAATTTCAAGTGGTGCGCAACGTCGAGGGAAGCGCTCCCGCCTAGTTGGACACTATTCTCTCCATAGAAACACGTCATTGCACAGCCGGTTTACCTTCATTAGGACAAATAGTCTCTAACCAGAAGAAATAGACCCAGAACACGTGATCACAGTGAGGTTGCTTTTATTATTTTGAGTGGTTTAAATGAGGCTACGATTGGAAGATGATTTACTACACCGCCATTTTCCCCTGTGCATATCATGAATATCATTCGCAAAAATATGCGTTGCATGAGGCGGGCTGTCTGTAAAGGATTGGAGAATTCAAATTCCAGAGACGATTTGTCAGAAAATACATTTGAGATAACGATACAAAATAATGCCAATAATACCAACACAGTGAGGAAAAGGGGAATTTATTTCTTGATTTTCTACCAAATACATATTAAAATGAGCGCTGCCAAGTATAGATATTTATTGACTTTGATTTGGAGTGTATTGTAGCCGATGAGTGTGCAGACTGAACATGGATATTAATCCCAGTCACTACACGTGCTGTATGACTCAGGTTACTTCCATCTGGCTTCTTCGCTGCATGAACCCCTTCATCCAAGTGATAACTTTCTGTTTGTGTGTGTTCTTGTTTTTGACAAGCAGCAATACCTGATCTACATGAACGTGTCTGGCTTGCAGTGCCAAAAACGTAATGCTGAAATCATTTTATTCATGTTGATGTCTTTCATTTGTATATTTGCCTTCTCAAACATGCTGAAAATGAGTTTTTATCCAAAAGAGACGGGAGCATGCCATGAGGTCTTTCCGTATGTAAAGAGAGTGTATTTCATATTTCACATTATTTATCAGTATTGATTTGAAGGCCTTATCAGAAATGCTTTTGTAAACAGTTGTTCATGTTTATTGAAAATGGATCCTTTATAGATATTTCTCCAGCATCAAATGATGTATTTTACCATAAATGTACGCTGTGCTTTGAGTTTGTATTCAAATAAAAAATGTTTTGACAATCTCAGATTTCATCATGTTTCTGCAGAGGGAAACACTGTGGCAGATAACATTTAGGATGGAGTGAGTGTGAGGGGACGGTGAGGAGCTGATGCCCTGTGGTGTGTGTGTGCACAAAGTGTGTGTTTGCCTGGAGAAACATAAGTGTCCGCAGCATGAGTGCTGTGCGGGGTCACCGGGTCGGAGCAGCAGGTCCCAACATCCAGAGAGAGCAGCATCTGTTTCCCTTTAATGTAGCGTGTGAATATAAATGGTCTGCAAAGGCTACCATCCCTGTGTTCCCTCATGAGGGAGTTTCTCACCCCCCTCCCCCCCCCCCTGCCTGAAACGCCTCCATTGGACTTGTTTGTTTACTTCCGTAACATAGTGACATCTATTGGCTTACTTTCCATCACATTGTATGTTGATTTTCTAAGGGCTGAGACATCTCTAAGCAGTTGACCAATCACAACAGAGCAGACCAGCTAACCAATCAGAGCAGACTGGGCTCTGGTTTCAGACAGAGGGTGAAAAGAGGTGCTGCAGCACGTATGAGAAAAATAAAGAGCTTTTTGAACATTAGAGCATGGAGACATGTCACAGTAGAAACACTACATACTGATATGAAGAAGAAGAGCAGAATAGGGCCCCTTTAAACAGGAGAGAAGGCCAACCAAAAGCTTTATGTGTACCCCAAGTCAAATGGATGGGATCATGTTATTAAAGGAAAACAATTATGCAGCGAATAAGAGAGCAAAATGGTGAGCCCACATGAGGAACAAAACGCAAAATAATTCCCTTCTCTATAGGCAACATTCATATAGAGTCTAGCTGGTGCATAATAGCAGCACACAAGAGGACATGACTGGTCTGCTGAGTAAGGAGAATATTAAGGTAGACATAGCTGGGGTTGCACAGTCTGTCAAACAAACACATGTTTTCTCCCTCATGATTATGGTCATATACTGTTAACACTTGAAAAGTATAAAACAGTAAAACACTTCTTACTCAATACTGAAAACGTTGGCATCTGAGCAGCTGTATCTGATTACATAAGAATGTGTTGTAATAATATAAAACAAAAGCAAATAATAAATGATAAGAACTGTTTTTCTTTCACTCATTATTTCAATATCCGAAACGGCATCAACATGGTTAACTCAATTATTAAGGCTGAAAATGCCGATGGGATTTTAATGCTGTGAATATCTGAGTAGATTTTTCCTGTTTAAGAAAAATCGGACAGAAATTGCACTGAAAGCTTTTTACAGCACGAGTGACATCAAGCGTAATGAGACGGGAGCTAATGATATCAATAATACAGAAGTTTGAGACCAACCTGGTGACCAGGTCACAAGCATCACCATGGCGACTCGAGATGAATGATATTTTTCTCCTGACAAACCCCACAGATCTGTGTAGCCCTATTCTTCACCAGATTACCTGGTCCCCATGGCAACAATAATGGACTGCACTCTTCTTTATGCTCGCCATGGCAACAACTTCTTCACAACATTAGTCTGGTATTGCCATGGTCACAGCTTTTCAAGTGCAACCTGTTTCCTGCTGGCAGCCTGGAACACAAAGCCTTTCACTGAGCTCTGACATTCAGAGTATAGATCGGCAGCGCACCTGATGTACCTCTGTGCAGAGACACTGTGTGGTGTCCTGTGGAGGGTCTACTCTAGAACAATGCCCTGTTTAGGCTGCAGGGGGGCAGCTCTGTGGGGCTCCACTCACTTCAGTTCCAGGTACATTTCTCTGTTTCTTTTGCTCGGATAATAACCAAGCCTCCAGAAAGAGAGCCGGGTGTTGAAGCAAATGTTCGTAGTGGCAACATTACAGTTTATGTTAAATGTTATCCAAAGTGGCTGACATACATTCAGCACTGTGGGCAATCCCCACAGGAGCAATTTGGGGTGAAGTGTTTTGCCCAGGGACACAACGACATGCTGACTGCAGTGGGACTCGAACTTGCTACCCCCTGATTCGAAGTCCAGAACTCTATCCACTGAGCCACAGCCGCAACACTTTCATATCCTGATTTCATTGGGTCCAAAAATAATTTTTACTATTCACTTACACTGGGAGAGAGGCGTCTTTACATTACATTACATTGCATTTAGCTGACGCTTTTATCCAAAGCGACTTACAATAAGTGCGTTCGACCAACAAAATACAAACTTGAAGAAAACAGAATCATATAAATACATCAGGTTTCATAGAGCAAAAACATTTCAAGTGCTACTCAACTGGCTTTAGATAAGCCAGCCCTTTATTAGTATATAAGTGCTTTGTTAATAGTTCTATCGCTCGAAGTGGAGTCGAAAGAGATGAGTTTTCAGTCTGCGCCGGAAGGAGTGTAAGCTATCTGCTGTCCTTTAAAAAAAAATTCAAACGTAAATCAACTTGTAAGAACAAGCCCTTATATCTAAGGCATTATTTCAGTTATTAGGTCGTTATGTGAGGCGGTGGTTAAGGAAAACGGAAGTATGCTTGCTCTATGGCCCCATGGATGTGGAAGATCCCCAGATAATACAGATTTTTTCTGGAGTCAGGCCATTTTTGCTTCAGCTCAGTTGAAATCTTGAATGTGGTCCTAAATAAGCACCAGATGCTAACCCTAACCCTTAAACATGACTTGCCTTCTAACTGTGCAGCCTTTCAACTGATCCTAAACACATACTGTACAGAATGTCTGACTTAAACACAGTAGAAGACGTTTACAGGTCAATCACATTCAAACCCACAAACCAAGCTGTTCTAGATTGAACCTTTTTGCACCTCACTTTTTGTAACTATTTATCTCATATTCAAGTAATTTGGGACACATTGCATTAGATCAGTGGTTCCCAAAGTGGGGGTAGCGCCCCCCCCTGGGGGGCGCAGAGGCATGACAGGGGGGAGACCAGGAAAACATATAAAGGGAAAATGGTTATAAACAATTTTTTTTTTTTAAATCATAATTTGAAAAATTATTGATTTGAAAATAATATGATACAGTACAGTACTATTACGTCTGGGTCTCTGTGTTTCATTAAAGCTCGGCTCTGTGTGTGTGGAACGAGCCATTTTGTGTGCGTGCGCGAGAGAGAGAGAGCGCACCGGTACCGGAGATCATTGTTGTTAGCTTCTGGTGCTAGCGAGCTACGCTAACGGATATAAGGAGTTTTTTCAACAACAAGGTGGAGGAGAGTCCTCTCCTGTCAGACAGAGAGACTCAGTGAGCTAAAGGACTCTCTGAGTGTTATCTCAGTGGGTCTCAAACGTTTTGGTCACCATTAATGTAAACAATTATTTCCGAGGCACACATTTATATGATCATTATAGTTATAAAAAAATAAGAGAATAAATGAAAAACAGCTATGAAATACTATATGACAGTAAAAAAAGAATAAAGTTTAAAAGGATGATTTGTAAAATATCCATAAAGAAAAAGTAAATCTGTAAACCTATAAAAATAGCACTTTACCCCTGCTTACACCTATATGCCTCGAGCCTTCATTGTAACTGTCACACTGTGTGTGCGTGGGGATTGTAGAAAATTCCACTGTAGCGCCCGGTACATTAATGGGAAACCCTAAATGTTTGAGCACCCTCTATGAAACGTCAAGCTACCCCACAGCACCCCCAAAATAAATCTCTGGCGCCGCCACTGAGCCTGACTTGTGTTGGGGGGGCCCGACTTTTTTTTTTCTCCAAAGGGGGGGCCTGCCAGAAAAAGTTTGGGAACCGCTGCATTAGATGATAAAGGCCTCTGTCTTCCCCTAAATGCACTTTCTATAAAAAATATAAATGTTCACACAATAAGTGCTGAAAGACATGTTTATGGGAAAGATAAAAGAGAATCCATCATCAAACAAAGTTATACTCGTCATAACATATTGTGTAATAACTGATTTCCAAGAAGGTATGTCCATGTGTTAATAATGATTGGTTATGAATGAATCCTCAGAGCAAACAGTGAGCTTTCACACCTAACGTGTTTAAATGAACTTTGGTGTGATTGACAGGCTGTTGTCTTTGTTTTGTGAAAAAGCTGATAGGTCCATTAGCCAAACAACCAGATGGTGCCTCAGCCTGCTTCTATTTAAACTGCTGCGGTTCCTATGAGCTCTGAAGCATGGCAGCCCAACCACAGGATCTTGTGTTGGTGGATGGAGAGTGGATGAATTTTCCTTGATCAATCAGAGAGTGAAAGGAAATTAAAACAGAAGAGCTGATGATGCAGTATGATGATCCAGATCAATAGTTATCTCTCAGTCCACATGTCTTCATGTTAATTCTTCTTGGTCCACTTGTATTTCCAATGGCACTCAGAGAAAGCAGAGCTCCGGCAAGGCCCATGGCGATTCTCATGCTCCTCAATGGGCCGTTTCCTTAGGGTGGAAAGTGGTGAAACTGTGGTGGAAATCATGCTATTCAAACTCATTGACTCAATAAGTTGTCTTTTATTATTTAGTCACAAACACACTGGGCAAAAGTCCGGCAAGTCTGAGTGAACAGCGCTGTGTTTGTTCTTTATCTCGTTGGCCACCCCCGAAAGCAAAATTGGTTTGGTCCAAACAGTTCTCCATCTGGCCGGCGTTGCAACTTCCCATAGGACCCTTACTCATACCCTAAGAAGGTCATTTCATCATTGTGAGTGCAAGTTAGCACTATACCGAGAGTCATGTGATTATGCAAACAAGGTTATATTAAACATATGCCATATGTTCCAATACATCACGTATACATTTGATCTGGTGTACTGTTAGTGTGTCTGCTGCTGGACAACTTAACAGACTGTCATTTAAAGAGTTTTGTGATTTTAATGCACTACTGGCAGTCCCTTCATTTTGGAACCATTTAAGCAGCGTGTTTTGCATACTGCTAAATATAATTGACCTCATTTATTAACTTGCTCAATGTAGCCCTTGCTTAATTCAGTTTTTATAGACTCAAAGAGTGGCTGTCCAAAGAGACGCTTCAGCCATGTGCAGTCATCCCTTTCTACTTATAAAGCAAACGGAAAACTCATAAATG